AGCGCGGGCCGGGGGCGGGGAAGAGGCCAGGAAGGGGGCGGGGGCGGCCCGGGGCGCGGGAGGAACTCTCGGAGCCCCGGTGCAACTTTGGTCACAGGCCCACGCCCCGCAGCATCGCTTTGGCTTTGGAGAAAAGTTTAGAGAAAAGGATCCGCTTTCCCAGCTCCTTAGCCACACAGTAGGTCTGTGAAAGTAGGTCCTTGGCAGCGTGAGAATAGGAGTGCTTTCAGAGAAGAGAAGTGGAGGCGAAGCCCAGCTCCCCTACCCTGAGGCTGGCTCGGCCCTAACTGATCTGGAGGCTCCAGCCCACCACGGTCCCAGGTATCGCCCTCCCCCCTCTGCTGGTTGTGAGCTTGCCTCCTCTAAGCCCAATGCCTCATCCTCTGGGCGAGGCGGGAATTCGCATCTTCCCCATGCCTCTCAAGCCTGGATTGCCTTCTTACCTCACCACTGCCTTTGGCTCACACCAGAGTTCTGCAGAGATGTCACCGTCGGACACTCAGACAGGCCGCAGGGAAAAGAAAACTGTGAACTCAGGCTAGGGCACACTCATAGGCGTAAAGCAGCAGATCTGCAAATTAAACAAAAACAATGCACAGACTACACTGAAATTGAAACGAAAGCTTTAGGGAAGATAGTCAAGGACTGAGTGTAAAGAAATTTGCTTGGTAAATAAAGATCTATTTATGTCCCTTTTCCTTCCCCTCACAGCTGACAAAATGTCCCAAATGTGAGACTGCAACCTCTTTATTTATAAAGAAAAAGGAGCTCAAAATGGGGGAAAAACTTGCTCTTCTAAAACTAGACCCAGGGATTAAAGGATTTCTCTGTGAATGACCCTGTGACTTCATTCTTTGTAGTTTGAAATTTGCAATCATTCAGACAATGTCTCAACCAAAGTGGAAACCACACCTGCCTCAAGATCCTGTCAGGTACCACAGCTCCCATGGGACACTGTCAGGGTACCACAGCTCCCTTGGGATGCTGTCAGGTGTGTTAGGGTCCTATCTGGCTACCAAATCCTCATGAAAACATGCCTGCCTTTTCCCCCGTTTCTCTCCTTTTCTCTCCATGACCCACTTCCAGCGGAATGTCCACATCACAGTGTCCAGGGCAGCTGCAAATGGGCCTAGACCCGCTTTCTGGTGACTCAGTACAAGTGAGTCATTTGGCAGAAAACAAAAGATAACACATATAAACTAGCTCACCTTAAACAAGGGAGTAAGGAGTAAAGATCTGGTTTTGTTTTGATTTTATAGAACCACAAAAGAAACCCAACTTTTCGAGTCTTCCCATGGAATTTGCAGATCTAAGAAAAGTCTGAAACATTAATCTCCCTGTAAATAACTTGATTTGCTTCTGTGGTTCCAGCTCAACTTCTCTAGACACAGCTCCCCTGTTAACAGGCAGGACTACACAGCTGCCCAGACCCAGCCAGGCACGCTCCAGCAGGCCAGTGCACTGTTGCTCAGAGATTCCTGTCACTGCTGCTTCCATGAAAAGGAGCACTAGGCAGAAAACAAGTCACCCTCTCAGGCAACTGGGAAGGTTTAAGGGTTAAAGGCCCTTCCAGGCTCCTCACAGCACATTCAGAAAGACATTAGGGAATCTTGCTTTTCCTGCCCATGCCCAAGGGACAAAAATGCACCTGCCACCTACCACCTGCCCCTCCCTTCAAGCACCACAGATTCTTCTCTCACCAATCTTTCTGTCTTCGAAGTCAACTGTGTACATTCAGCGTGCCTGCCAGCTGGGTGGGACTTAAGCACTGGATAAGAGGGGAGACGGAGAACCTGCAAAGAGTGATTGCAGTATAGATGGATCCCAGCACCTCTTTGCCTCCTTCTAGGATGGTACAACAGAATCAGAAAGGGGGTCAGGGCTCAGGATGGAATGTTGCAAACAGTAGTTGATTTGATTTTAGAACCTTAGCTTTTCTCTGACTTTAATCACTATTTGGCTGTAATCTGGGCCTTAGTTTCCTCAACTCTCTGAAAAGCATTCTAGCCTTGATGTTTTAGAGTTCAGGGAGGGCGAAACAGGTGCGAAAGGACATTTACATTTACAGTGTTTCTTTTAGGGTAGGAAAATCCTAATGAGATTCCTGATCATCTCAGATGGCTTAGAAGAGCTCTTATCTGGAACCAGGAGGATAAATTAGATGGCCTTTCAGACCAGTTTCTGTCTTGGGAGTCTGTTGATCTACACTGAAGCAAAAAGAAAGCCACCTCAGACCAGATTCAAAGGATCAGTGGGCTAGGGCTGCAGAGCTGGAGTGAGTGCACACCAAAGGAGCTGTCAGGGAATAGCAGACCAGTGACTCCTCCACCCCCAATCATTATAGAGTAAGAACATTTACAGGGGCTCTCCTGCCTCTGTGTGTTAGGCTGTAGTTAACAACTCAGACACCTCCATTCAGCAACTTAACCTAAGGCACAAGCTTTTAGTCTGGTGGCTCTGCCACTCTATGGCTTCCAACTTTGCTTTTGGATTGGGATTCCAATCAGCCAGAGGAGAAAAGAGCTCAGAGAACTGAGCAGGAGAAGCTTTGATGGGCATGCTTCACCTCCTCTTACATCCCACTGGAGAGAATATAAGGATAGGGTCACCAAACTGCAGAGGACACTAGGAAATAGAACTTAGTCAAAGGAGGGGAGGAGAGGTTTGGCTAGACTGCTAACAGTCTCTGTCACTTGACATCAGCACATGGAAGGGAAAGGAAGTTTAAGTGGAATTCATCTCCAGCCTCAGTTTCCTTTGTGAATCAGATGATCTCAGATGATCTCTCAGGGCCCAGAGACTTGAATATTCTGTGGTTTCTGTGGTTTCAGTAAGATGTTTTCTACACCAAGGCAGATAAGCAGAGCAGGGTCCAGTGTAGCATGCCCTCTGCCCATTGGTTCAGTAGAGGGAACTTGGGTTTTCTCCAAGTTCTGTCCCTAAGCTGTTCTGGTTCCTCAGCCAAGTCAAGTGCTCTCTATTGACTTCAGTGTTCCCAACTGTCCAGTGGAGTGAGGGGAGCCATTACCTTTGCTGCTTCCCCAGGGTTGGTCTAAGGCCATAATGAGGTCACTGTCCGAAGGCACAAGGAGCTCTTCTGACTAGTGCTTTCTGCACAGTGTTCTTATTATAGCCAGAGTCCTTATAACACTGCATTCCAAGCAGGCCCTTGACTGTGCCCACTTTGCTCCTGAGCATTGTCCCAGTGTACAGTGCCACTGCCATGGCTGGGATCTGATGGCAATTCTGTTTTCTGAGAAGTTCTGAGCCTTATTCATTCCAAGGCTGTCCAAGATTCCTGTGTCTTGGGGTTCCAGAGGGCTGACAGGTTAGTCAACAGAGACATGAACTGAGCTTAACCTGGGAGCAGATGAGCTGGCTTTGGGCATCGTAGTCTCCTGGGGGGCGGCCAGCTCCTCTGTTAAGTGTGATTCCTGCTACTCCAATCCTGGATCTGTTTATTCATCCTCTCATCTACCCCTCCCATTTAATTTATGAGCTGTTTTCTGAGAAGTTCTGAGCCTTATTCATCTTTTATCATCAGAACCCAACACAGTACTTTCCTTTTATTTAGTCATTCAATAACTATTCCCTCTGTAACAACTCTGTACCTGGCTCTGTGCTAGGTATAGGGTGAATCTCTGACCTCAAAGCCTAAAGTTATGAAGGAGACAGCCATCAAAAGAGCATCACTGCAAACTTGTGACTATGGAAGGGCCATCAAGACGAGCACTTAGGAGAGTGTGCATTTTCCCCAGTTTCCCTGTAGATATGAGGTTGAGCCATGATCTGAAAGCTGTATAAGCTATTAGCCAGGTCTATGAGAGAAGGTAGAGTATGCAAAGGTCAGAGGCAGGAGGGCTCAGGATAAAACAAATGTAAAGGAAAAGAAGAAAGTCAGTGTGGCTGGAATCCAGAGAGCAAGAAAGAAGGGAAGGAGGTGACCCGGGCTAGAAGCGTTGATACTGCTCACACCAGGCCATCCTGAGCTGCACATTTTGAGAATCTGTTCTTCAATTTAGGAGTTTAAGAAGTCACGGTAAGGTTTTCACTCAGGGAGGTGAGGTGCAGTGGGGTATAGGGGAAAAAGGTGAGGAGTGACATGATGTACAATTGGACATCATCATTCTGTGATGGGAGGAATGATCCATGAAAAATGAGCTGATGATGTGTGGACTCTTGGAATTCAAGTGAGTTCAAGTTCTAGGACAGGAGCGATAGCTGAGAGTTCAGATGATATTATGGAGTTCAGAGATTGTAGGAAGTAAAATCCACAAGATATATTGATGGATAATGAAGGCGAAGAGGGAAGAGAAGTCAAGATTTTCTGAGTTTCTGGCATGCATGGTTGGATAGATGTTGGTACCATTCACAAGTAAGGGAGAACAGTGCGATAACCAGGCTTTTGAGGTCAAGATCATTGATTTAGTTTAGAGCATGGGCCCCAAGAGGTGCATGGTTGGATAGATGTTGGTACCATTCACAAGTAAGGGCTTTTGAGGCTTTTGAGGTCAAGATCATTGATTTAGTTTAGAGCATGGGCCCCAAGAGACTTTGAGATAGCCATGTGGAAATGTCAAGTATGTCTTTGAGCCCACAGACTTGGAGCTGGGAGGAGAGGTCAAGTTTGAGATCTCCATCCAAGTACAAGGAGATGAGATCACCTAGAGGACAGAGTACTGTAGTCAGAAGAGGCTG